TGTGGATGAAACAATTCTCATAAAGAAGGAAAAGTTTCAGAACAGCCTTATGTAAATGTTTTGAGTCTTCTCACAACTTTTTACTTTATTGTTTCTTTTTTTGCATTTTCCTATCTTCTTTGTGGCCTGCTTATTCTTTTGGGGGTTCCTTAACCAGGGCAATGGTTCTTGAACTTAAGCTTGCATCAGTTTACCTAGAGTACAGGTTACAATACCGATTCCAGAGACTCTTCCAGAGCTTCTAATTCAGTAAGGTTCACTGAGTGCATTTCTATAATAGCAGACTCCCAGGTGGGGCTGATGATGTTGGTTCAGAGCCATACTTGGAGAACCAGTGGTCTAGGGATTGTGCTCTATCATCTTAATATTTTCTTTCACTCACTCACTCACTCACTCACTCACTCACTCACTCACTCACTCACTCACTCACTCAATATTTACTAATACATTACTGTCCCTCATATAACCCACATTTGGTGACATTTAGGGGTCATTGGTGAATATTAAGTGACCATAGCCTACAATCCCTGAGTCTCCCCAGTCTGTGGGTGCCAGGCATTCTTTCATGGGTGTGTCTCAAATTGCTCTGATTCTTACCTTCTGCGTATAACAAGTTCCAATGACTCTCCCAAAAAAGCATCACAGGGATGCCAGGGCTTGTCATGCATGTGCTTGTCACCCCATCATTCTGGTGACCACACACCAGCTCCTCTCATGGATGTTTTCCATCTATGCAACTACTTAGGATGGCTCATGGCTGAGCCAATTGCCACTACTGCTGCCTAATATGAGAACTATGAGGTACACACCAGGGGTGGTGCACACCAGGGGTGCTGCCCACCAGTGCTCCCCAAATTGTTAACATCAGGAAGTGGTGGGATGATGAGATGCTCCTGACTGCTTCTGACCCTGAGTCACATTCCTTGCCTGGAAACCAGTGTGCTGGTGGCTGGTACCTCAATATCTCACAGAGCAATATGTGGAAATGTCTCCATCAGCGTTTGCCTGTAGTTCTTTCCTGGTCTATAGGACTGGGAGGTAGGAATGGGTAGATGGGAAAAGTGTATGATTTAACACATTTTGTCTTTTCTAATCCAGTTTATTAGTTCATAAAACGTGTACGTTTAGTTTTCACACCCCCAAAATTTGTCAGACAGGACACACATATCTGAGTCACATTGGGAGATTACAACTGAGTCACAAAACTCTTAGATACAAAAGCAAAGAGGACTCCAACTTTCTCTCTGCCTCCTCCTGCACTTTTTTTTTTTCTCCTGCACTTTTAAGGTATTCATAACTCCACTGCCCTTTTACTGGGGCAATTTTAACCTAGTGTAGCAGGGAGCCTTCCTTCCTCTAGGGTTTCTTTTATACAAACAATGCCTTAGGCAAGGAGAGAAGAGATCATTTGTAGCCTCTGCTAGTTTCCTGCAAGGAACCTAAGGGTTGAGAAAGGTTCATACCTACTTTAGTCTTTTACAAAAACCCACTGTTGCATGGGTGGTTCTTCTAAGCCAACAATGACCTAGGGCCAACTCTTTCCTTTTGTGTGTGTGGTCTGGAAGCATGGAGGGGGCCAGGGTATTAATGTCTCCAGCACCCACAACCGAAACAGAGCAGCTTAGTTGTCCAGGAGCTTTTTAGAAGGTATTTGGGTAGCCTCGGACTCACCTAAATTTTATCTTACTCCTCAAGGACTGTGCATTCTTGGATTTTAGAACTATAAAACAAATGCTAATTATTATGGCTAATTATTCAGAATAGAAGTAAAATAGCAACCATATAAATTATGTCATTTCAAATATATGTCAGGTTGACTGTTGTGTACTTTATGCACTGTATTATGCTCTGTCTGTGCAAACATTACTCACTTTCTGGTCAGGTGGCAAGCTATCCTAACACAAACAGAACTTAAAAAATGGAACAAACATTCTTTGGGAAATGAGGCTAAATAGATTATTGCAGGAGACCTCCATACTGGGAAAACACTCTTAGCTGGGTGCAATAGTCGACAGAGAGAACATTCAATGCAATGAAATGCCAGGCACATCATCCACTGGAAATATACCCACCTGCTGCTCTCTTGGTCATATATGACAGATTACATTCTGGCACTCATTGTCACTTCACAGGTTAGCTTTGAGGACATAGGTGACTTTCTCTTAAAGTATTCCTCCTACACAAATAGTATAGGTCAATAGGAAAGATGTTCTTAGGAGTAATCAACTACTGATAAATGCACACACATTTCCTTAAAATATAACACAGGAGTGGTAACTTCTTTTGCATACTGTTCTGAAGACAGTCTTCACATAGAAATCTATTTAAAGGACTACAAACTCTTTGGTCCTAATTCAATACCTCTATGAAAAATTTCAAAGATAAAAAGGCTGGGTTTTTTTGCAGGCAGGACAGGTCATTTTGGTGCTGCCGATGTCTGGTATAGAATAGTCAGCAAAAATATTAGTAAGTCCCATAAGATAAGCAGGATAGCTGTTATACCCAAGAAGCTATACTAAAACCAAGATTATAGTTCTAGAAGGGCCGATGGTGTGAGAATTCAGGAGGATAGTGAGTAGGGGTTAGTGATCCTGTGGAAGGATCTGGTGAGCACAGAGCCAGGAACTAGGTGTTCATCTGTGGGTAGCAAACCTTGGCCAACAACAGCAAAGAAAGTCTAATAGTTAGCTTTTCAGTGACTGGAGTCCTTATATAGTCCTCTTTACTTTCTGGATTACTCTCAGGACATAGATGAACTTGAGCCCACAGTAGCAGAAACAGTACCTCTGATGAGTGGGCTGAGGTGGGAAATTTGGAGCCCTACTCACTGTCCAGTCTGCTCCTGGCTCTCTCCCCATCGAAGGAGAAACAACCTTTACTGCATTTGGATCTTACAACTGGAAGCCTTGAAGGTTTTAAAGATTATTTCATTGCCAATGAAACTTAAGACATCACTTAATTGTAAAAGGGTGTTAATTTGCTTCGGAAACTAGCCATTTAACTTTTAGAAGAGTGAATTACAACCCTGCACATTAGAAGTTTTTCTAACTATAGATTTTTGGACTCCACTTCAAATTAATTAAAATAGACTCTCTGAGGAGGTAGAGGAGGCCTAGGAAGCTGTGTGTGTGGGGGGGGTATTTTAATTTGGTGATTCCATTCTATAATTTTATTTTATTTTATATTTTAAAGATTTATTTATTTATACAAGAACCGGGGTACAGGCCAGAGGTGCAGGAGAGAGAGAATTCACCAAAGACAGAGCAGGGAGCAGAACAGGCAGACAGACTGAAAACACTGGTTATCTCCTTGGCCGGCCAGGAATCAAACCTGTGCTGCAGAGGCTGTGGACAGCTTCACAGCGCTGTGCTCAACCCTCCATGCCACCGGGGAGGCCCTCTATAATTTTATTTTTAAATGACTAAGGTTGTTATATACTCTTCATCATAAATTAAAAAAAAATTAAAATATTTTACTCTTCTATTTCCTTTCATTGTAAGAGGGTATTATATGCAACATATTAAGAATATAAAATGAATGTTGTTTATCCACCTCTTTCTTCAATTTAATTAAAGGATAAGATATATTTGGAAAAGTACACAAATCATAAATGTTTATAGAAAGTATATTAGCCCAAAATAAACACAAGTAATAGGACATTAACCATATGCCCAGCCTCAGCTTATGTGGCTTCTCCACCATTACCCTCTCCTTCCTTCTAAAAGTATAAAAGGTCTGCAGGGATATATCTGAAGAATACGAGAAAAGTAATTTGAATAGCTGTGTGCACCACTATGTTCACTGCACCATTCACAATAGACATGAGTTGGAAACTGCCTAAACGTCACCCACGTCTGACTGGGTAATGATGTGGCTTATACCACATCATACTTTGCTTCATAGCGTGTCCAGCAACATCGATAACGATGGCTGCATTAGGCTACCCACATGAGCCAGGTGCAGCAGGCTAGACCATGAGGTTTGTTTGTGTAATGACACTATGATGTTTCAGAATGATGGAGTCACCTAATGACACATTTCTCAGAATGTATCCTGGTCGATAAGCATCACATACCTGTATACATGACAGAACAATATTTTGCTACTAAAAAAAAGGTGAAGTCTTGCCATTGGTGACAACATGGGAGGCCTTGAAAATATTATGGTAAGTGAAATGAGTCAGATGAAGAAAGACAGACACTGTCAGGTTTCACTCATGTCTAGAAGATAAAGAAACAAAACAAACAAAGCATAACTAAAATAAAGTCTTAGGATGATAAGAACAAAATAGTGGCCACAGGAAGGGAAGGGAGGAGGCAATGGATAGTGTTATAACCAGTGTTACCTCATTAAATTTTAGAAAGGTCCCAAGGTAATTTTAATGGGCCATACCATTGTCTTACCATTTAATTTTTCATTTTTCCGTCATAAATTTTTTTAATGGAGACAAGATTATGTTTCTCTGATCAAATAATAATAGCAATGAATAATTAACATATTGAGTATTACATGTGCACTCACATGTTATATGTGAATGTTATAGTGCTGCAACAGATTTTCAAACTATGACTCACTCAAGGAATTTAGCTTTATTTTTCTAAAACTAAGTTAAATTTGAGCTCTAAGATACCTGATGTTAGAAAATGCCTTTCTGTTCATTTTCAGGAGTATCCTGAGCAATGTAGGGCAGTGGCTTCATCTTTCAAAATGAGTATTCACCACGCTGAGGGAGTATTTGGCTACCTGGGGAAGCCCAGGTGCTGGGGTGCAGTGTGCTGGCTGTGTCCGTTGGACCAGTTGTGGGCTAGACACACACCCCAGGAGAAAGCCAGCTTTCGGGTCATGTCAGCACTGCTCAGAGGAGCATGAACAAACAGGTGACCTGACAGGCGAGTGGGCCACAAGAGTCCAAGGGCCCGAGGAGACACTGACAGCAAGCCCAGAGACAATGACACAAGCATCTTTGAAGTGTCTGCCAAGTGCCCACCAGTTTCACATACCTGCCAAGCCTGGAGAGCTCATAAGCCAATTCCCAACAGCCACGGAGTAGCAAGAATGCTCTGCTGTCTTTGCTTCTCCTTCCGCTCCCTTTCAACTCTGCAACAGCCAGAGCCAGACACAAAGTGGGGTGAATGGGTAAGGAATAGAAGTTTGAGACAAGAAAAAGCCAATCCCAGTTGGACCACCTGTCCTCTTTCCCAGTAAGTTTTGGCTATGCTTTCAAGAGGGCAGCTGCCTTCTGGAAGGGAAATGTTTTAAATTTAAAAAGAATTTGAAAATCTTGACTTATATAGAAGCAAACATTTGTGTGTGTGTGTGTGTGTGTGTATGTGTGTGTGTGCGCGCACACGTGTTGTCTGTGATTCAAATAACTGGAGAACTTTTTAAAAAATCTAAAAAGACCAGAGAAGTTTTGCCTGCATTTGTATCCAAGGGAGTCGAAAGGATTTATCTGGCTCCAGAGCAGGCTTGCATGGACAGTGTTTCCCAGTTGCATCTGAGGAGCACCGTTTATCCAGGGTGGTGGTTACACAGATCTTCCATCTGCACCAGTCACTCAGCCTGCTGGGACCTGAGGCTCCTATGACCCTTCCTTCTCCCAACACTCCACTCCCATCCCTCAGGGACAGCCCATTGCATTGCCTGGCCTGAGGGAAGGGTCTCAGAATTGCAATAGAGTTTGGGAGATAAAAGCCCTTTGCCTAATATGTCAAATTACACCCATCACCACTATCTCATTTAATCATCACGGGAAACTGATGGCATGAAAGTTATTGTCATTCTGCTTTCTGAAATGGGGACAGCTAGGGCTGCCAGCAGTGGGAGGAGAGCAGAGAGGCAGGCCCCTGTCCTCTGGAAACTATTCTCTAAACACCACACACTTTAGCTCCACTCATCGCCCTCCTGGCTGCAGGGAAGGCAATGTGTTGGGCTTCTCTAAAAGACATTTTGAGAGGGAGAGGAGTAGTCAACTAAATTTATGAATGCTCACAACCCTTATCTACTTTCTAAGCATTTTCTTGCTAAGACAGCTAGCAGAGGCTTCTGCTTCTTATAACCCAGTCTCTGCCAAAAATGTAGCTTTAACTTTAAAAAGTCAAAAGACTTTTAAAAAGTCAGGTTAGTTACTCTGAATATGTGAAAAGAAATACCCAGTTCTACCATGGTTTTCTTTTAAGAAGTTAACGTTTACTGCCTAGAAATCAGTTCTGTGCATATGGGAGTGTGTTTTAAGAATTTTGGGGCACCACGAAATTTGTTTTGATGCTTAATTTTTTTTCCACAAAAGTTTAGTGGAAATGTGCAGGTACTTCTAAGCCACTGTCATTACTGGAACTGTTCCTTCTCCTTCCTCTGTGTAGCTGAACCTTAAAGAGGAAAAAATGGCCTGAGTTTAAGAGTGTCAGAGAAAATGATGTTATTTTGGTTTTTGGCATTTTATCACTTGGAGGTCTATCCTTCCTTTCTCTGTATATTGCAATTCCTTGATCATATTGTCAATTTTTTTTTTTTTTGCATTATAAAATGTAGAATTGTTAGGATTATACACAGACTAATCTCTTGTCATAACATTCTTTTCCTGGGGAGAAAACAATCCCTGTGCTCTTCCTGTCTGTCTGCCTGCCTTCTGCCTTTTTTTGCTGTAAAAGCAAAAAGGATAAGCCGGAGAGGTTGTTAACCTCCACCTGTGTGCCAGGACAAGCAAATTACCTAAGGCAAAAATTAAGCTGTTTGTAAGAAAAAAAAACAAAAAAACAAAAAAACAACCAAAAAACCCTCCAAGCAGTAGAGAATCCACTACTCCTAGTGAACTGTGACATGCTGAACTGCACACTCTGAAAGTCATTTCCTATCTATGTATACTCTTATCTCACTGCCCTATGTTTCTGTCCTCATCTGCATTAACCCCTTTTTTACCTTTTTACGAACTTCTAGTCCATTTCTCAGAGTGGTGAGAGACAAAATAACCTCTGGTGAGGTGAGTCATAGTCCCTGGAGCCCTCGGGCTGTAACCCCCAGCCACTAGGCATGGCCGGGGGTGATGGCATTCCTTAGCTCACAAGGTATTTACTCAGGCTGCTGCTAAGCAAACACTCAATCCTTTTTCATTCCCTGAGCCTGCATTTCTAAGTCTGTTTCCAAACAGAACACTAGGGGGCTCCCAGGGGTTAAAAATAAGCAGAAAATCGTTTGAATGAAAACTGCTGCTCTACAGCATTTGTTTTTTCAAATTTAAAAAATAAAGTTAATTTTAAAAATTTCTTCAAAAATGCCTTACACGTTTTAAGACTGGGTTATCAGCAGCCAGTTTACAAGTAATCGTTTTACTTTGCAATCTGTAGTTTTCAAGGGAGCTGTTAAAGCTGAGCTGAAATATTTGAAATGTGGACACTCTTGACCATGAAATATGTTCTTCTTACATGCCTCAGCCTTTAAAAGTTCTGTGCATTAGAGTCAGGGATTACATTCTTCCTGGAGCAAGCATGGGGCCAGCTGTGTAAGTAAGGTTGCTTCTGAGCTCTTTTTCTTTTTAACAATATGAAAAAAAATTTGAGTTAGAGATCCTTTTATTTTCTTTCAACTGACTTTGGTGGAAAGAAAAAGAGTAAAAAGCAGTCAGATTTGTAGATTTGTGTTTTGTTTAGTGTGTGTGTGTGTGTTTGTCTGAATAACTGCTTCCAAAATATAGGGACATTTCTGACTTTATATTAACTTTTTATCTTATAATAACTCTTAATGCAAGATAATGGAACATGTTATGAAAAAAAGTACCATGAAATTAAGAGAATATGTTTCTGAATTTGAATGCTAATACCTGCTTTGACTCAGTTAGTTAATACAGGACTTAAAAAATATATATGGGATAGTTATAGTTTTTTAAAAAATACATTGCTTGTCTTAAATGGTTTCTGATTTTCAAAAAAAGGAAAGCATGGGTTTGTCAAATTTTAATGCTTTTCCTTCAGAAGTAAATTAAATAACTAGCCACAATTTATAAAATATTCTTGGATCTGTGTGACTGGCTTTTACTAATTTAAACTGAATATAAAATCTCTGCATCTATCTCATGTCTATTTCCGAAACTTCATTAAGAAACTTCTGGTGGGGATATTTATGAAAGGAAAGGGTTACTTTTTTCCATTGCTCCTTAGAGGAACTAAATTAGTTTGAGACTGTGACTCAGTTACATCGTTTCCATTCATTCCCAGAAACAAGCCACACTTCTCTTTGGGGAGGCTGATAGGAGTTTAGAGGTTTGTCGTGGTGAGTGTCAGAAACATCCTCAACTCCATCACCAACCCTTCACGGCCACCTCTCTATCTACTGGCGACCACTTAGACATCCAAGCGGAGGAACAGCTGAATTTAGGAAACCATGCATCACTTAGGCAGGAGCCAACGGCAGACTTTAAACTCTGCTCAACATGTGGATGCGGCAGAGAAATGAACTGTCCAGACAAGCCAGGGCAGCTCATAAACTGGTTCATCTGCTCCCTGTGTGTCCCGCGGGTGCGTAAACTCTGGAGCAGTCGGCGGCCAAGGACCCGGAGGAACCTCCTGTTGGGCACCGCCTGTGCCATCTACCTGGGCTTTTTGGTGAGCCAGGTGGGACGTGCCTCTCACCAGCGTTCGCGGGCCGTGGAAAAGGGGCCGCACCTGAGCCGGGACACCACCCAGGTACCCTTCCCTGAGATACCCTTGGATGGTACGCTGGCCCCTCCCGAGTCCCCGGGGAATGGGACCACGCTGCAGCCCAATGTAGTGTACATTACCCTACGCTCCAAGCGCAGCAAGCCAGCCAATATCCGCGGCACAGTGAAACCCAAGCGCAGGAAGAAGTATGCAGTGGCATCTCCGGCCCCCCGTCAGGAGGCTTTGATAGGACCATCTCTTCAGTTACAAGAAGCTGCAAGGGTACCTGATGTTGAAGCGCATGGGTATATCCAGGGAGGAAACCTGGGCAAGGCCGGGGAAAGACCCTGGCGGTTGCTACCAGGTCTGGGAGCGCGAGGTGGGAGCTCGGATTTGCCGCAGCCCAAGGTCAAGGAGAGCAATATCAGGATCTACAGCGAGAGCGCCCCCTCGTGGCTGAGCAAAGAAGACATCCGCAGAATGCGCCTCTTGGCAGATGGGGCAGTGGCCGGCCTCCAGCCAGGGCCCTCCAAGAGCCAAGCAAGCTTGCTGGTGCTGGAGGGGGGCGCCACTGGCACTGCGCCTGGCTGTGGCCCTAGCCCCTGTGGGCTGCTCAAGCAGCCTTTGGACATGAGTGAGGTGTTTGCCTTCCACCTGGACAGAATCCTGGGACTCAACAGGACCCTGCCTTCTGTGAGCAGGAAATCAGAGTTCACCCAAGGTAACAACTTCACTTGCTTCCTTATTTGCAGCTGTTGAGCATTCGAGTTGATTTTCTCTTTTCCCTCGCTCGCTTTTTTTTTTTTTTTCCAAATGATTTTCTCCACCCACGTTTCACATTTGGATAACAGCAGCAGCATGTCTTTCCGTACGCTTGGCATTCTTTATTTTCCCAGCTTTGGGAGGATATGAGAGTTCCAGGGAAATGCTGTACTCGACATGCAAGAGTAAGCCCACACTGTGTAATCTTGCTCTCCATTTCCCTCACTGCACTTCCCAGTGGCTTATTAAATCTAATTAAAGCCAATGGCAATTTGCATGATGAGAGGATGCCCGGGTGGAGGCACAGAACTTGCTGACTGTGGGCATATTATTGAATAGGTTATGCTGGAAGTTAAGTAGAATTTCGTTTGTTGGAAGTTTTAAAAAGTAAGACGTAAGTTATCTTTCTAAAGCAGAAGAAATATTTTTAAGAGCCTCACAGTCAGACCAAATTAGATTCAACCCATTGATTTTTTTTTTTAAACAGTAGATTCAGTCCCTTTTTACAAACAAATCCCTGTGGTGCCAGGAAGGGCACTGAGCAGGTTTTCTATGATCTAAGCAGACCCCGGTAAAGGAAAGTCCTGGAGCTCTCCGTGGCTTTCTCAGGCTTTTATTGAGCTTTTACAGGTAGTGCAGCAATCAGGTAAGGGTGTGGGAGGCAGGAGGCCTCTCTGGGTTTCTTTTTCTCCTCTCTCTCCTGCCTCTTCTGCTTCTGCTTCTCTTGGCAGATATCACAATACTCCTGCCATGGCTCACAAAAGTAAACAACATAACTTATAACAAAGTAACAAAATGCAGGTGCCCCATCAGGCAGGGCAATCCTAATGGTGGAGGGCAGGAAAGCCTGAAAACCATTTACCCTACAATCCCTTTAATAAATAAAGTGCTGCAAAAAATGAAAAAATAGACTTTTTGTTCAGTATGTATACTGACTAGCCATATGCTGTCTTCAAGTTCATGTCTAAGGTTCAGGATTTCCTGAATCTGATTTCCAAGATTTTCACAGGTGATTAACATTTTGGCAGGTTCTAGGGGGTAAGTAGCCATGCACGGCAGCTGCAGGAGGTATGACTGTCTGTGGCCTGGCTCAGACAGATGTTCTCTAAATCCTGAGGCCCTTCCAGGCTTTGAATACAAAGTAGGGTGGGTCAGCGGTCTGTGTTTGAATACAGAATAATTCTTGTAAATTGCTACCAGGTATCTAGGCTGACCCAACAGGCTAAAAAGGACCCCAGAGACAAAGTAAATGCAAAGCCTACTACCTTCCTCCCTGATACCTCACTAGATTTTTGGAGGGGTTACCAGGGAATCTCTATTGGAGAAGATTAAAACTCTTGGGGGCATTCACAAATCAAACTACATTTCCAAAGGCTTTAGGATTATAATTTAGTTTTAGAATGGGTACTTCTTGATGTACCCGTGATTTACTCGGAGTTAGTATTCTTATCTTGGTTCCTGTCTAAGTGCTTCAGAATCACAGATATGTTTGATGTTCAAGTACTGTGCATGCATTATCTCATTAAATCCTCATAAAATTTCACAAGGGTGAAATTTTGTGTATGATAGGTGGATATGCAAGTAGAGGCTCAGGGTAATTAAGTACTTTATTCAAGTCATGTAAATTGCCTGAACATAAAAAGAATATATAAGATGCAAAATAATATGTTAAAAGACAATCAAATGCTATGATTGGACTGATTTTCTTGCCCTCAGCTTCTATGATGAAGATTTCTGTTGATCTAGTCCAAATACAAAGGTCTCAATTATAAAACTCAGTGTCAAGGTGGTTGTTTTTTTTTATTCTATTAGGACAGAACCTATTAGGACAGAACCACTGGCTTGGTTGTCTGAGAGACAGGCACAGGTTCTTAACCATATAACCTGATGAATTCTTAGGTGATTTTCCTTAAGTGCAAATATATTTGTGAATCAGTGGGCTTACTGGCCTTGTACCAGACCATTTTCTGACAGGTGTTACTCCAAAGAAAATGCAGAGGTGTACCTGGGGAAGGTGTTGTGATTAGCTGGGGAGGACCGTACCACAAAAATCCAGCGATTATCACTGGAGAAGATTCTCATCCTTTGTGTTCCTGTACAGAAAATGCAAGCACCAATTGAAACATGGCACCAAAGGGCTTTTAAAAGCATCCATTTCTACAACAGAGAAATCTCCTCCCTTTGTGAATCTATAAAGAATCTAGTGTTTTTGGCAGCTCTTCCTGTCCGCTTGTGTCTATGCAAGTGTCTTTTGCTGTCCTATTCCTTTTCTAATAAACCTGCTCTTTAAATATATAAAAAAAAAATCTAGTGTTTTTGCATTGTGTTGTGACTCTAACTGCATTTGGTATCATTTATCTTCGACATTACTTAACAGTACCACATAGTCAACATTTGCATTTAGTTATTTTATTTTTCTTTCAGTTCAAGAATTTAGCATTGAAACAATTTTTATGAAGGAAAGTATTGATATATACTCTGAACATGCTACAAGGGTATTCAGTTTTGCTTTAAATGCAAGTCAATGCTTACCAGATTTTTTTTGTATTACCATAAACAATCATATGCATGCAAATGTGACTGAACATATGTAGTATGTTTTCTTCTAAACCATCCTTGTAAAAGCCAAAAATTGTGACAAAGGTCGTCAGCTTTGGTGTGGTGCTATACATATAGATATTTCTCTTTAAACAAAATGTTTTTAACAATTTACGTAAAAGATGACCAAGCAGACTATGTCCATGTAAAAAACAGAATAAATCCAGGCATACTCTGTGATCTTCAACTGAACAGCTTTGCCAAAGCTTCCCGAGCAGTCTGCAGTCATGTGAATGAATCCCAAAGGACACCATTTTGGTAGAACTTAAGCATTGTGCTGTTTTTCATGCCCAGCATGGAAGATGCATTATGTATGCTTTATTTTTAGGATGCTGCTTTATTGCTACAGAGCAGTCATACTGAATTAAGGTAGCCTGGTTCCAGGAATTCTGTATGTCAGGGCTGCTTAGATGACGAACTGCAGGCACCCCACCAGCTTCCATTTAAATTCATTGTAGATCCCAAGTTGCTCACTGTTTTCCAATTTATATCACCTCATCTTATTATAAAATAGGAGAAATAGTCTATTTTCTACTCTTTTTGAATGCACACGTCCTGCACTGTGAGTCGCTGGATGAGGGTTCCCTAGCCAGAAGGAGGGAAGGGTGTCTGCATTCCTCATTGCTTCGGGCTCCCAGGCAAGAACTCAGTGGTTTTGCTAGCATCTATGAGAATAACCCAGATGCTCCCATAACTGGGAGCCATACTGACTTCAAAATCTTAGAAATCTTGGACCTATATGCAAACTTTCATAAAATATTTAACTATAAAAATGTTTTATTTTTGAAAAGTTCACTTAAAAACACATTGTATTCTCTATCAGAGAAGCCCTAGGGTGTCTCGTTAGCAATTAAATTGAGCTGATTAGCTTAGTATTTTCACAAGTGGACAAAGGCTTACTGAACTTCCTCTCTCAGCAGCTCTCTGCTCCAGAACCTTGTTGTTTGCTCGCTGCAAACCTGCAGACACATGAAAGTTCCTGGGCACCTTGTCCATCTGCCCTGCCTTTGGATCTTGGCCCTTCACCCCTCAGGTGGCTCAGATAGATGGGACAATGAATATTTGCCATAGTGCTCACAGCGTGAAGATGCACAGGCCTTGTCTCATGCAATTTGCGCTTCCTTCCGTAGCATCACCTTTATCTTGTCTCATTTTATGAAATATTTATTGGACATTTGCTAAATGCCAGCCACTCCTGTGGGCATAGCATCTAAGAACAAGACACTCGAGGTGACCTGTCCCCCTTGAGCTGACAGGAATGTACCAGTTGAGAGTTCAGTGGCCTGGAGGGAATCTACTTACTGCCACTGATTTCAGAATTCATTCAGCTCAAGGTCATGACCTTTCTATCAGGAGAGAGTGTGCTGCTGTCTCTAGTGTGGTGGCAAGACCACGTAAGTGTGGAAGGACTAAATAACCCCCCTTCTACCTCAGTTAATGGGTAAATATTGAAGTTGCAATAGAATTTTATTGTACTTGATAGCTCTTCTAAACTTGGAGAAGCTGCACAGTCTTAAGTCACATAGTTTTGTTGCTAAGAGCACAGACTGGCATATTCATCTGCTAGCACTGCCATCTCAAAATACACACCCTAAGTGGCTTAAATGACAGAAATTCATTTTCTCGCAGTTCTAGAGTCTATATGCCCCAAACCAAGGTGTTGGTAGCTTTGGTTTCTTCTACAGCCTCTTTCCCTGGCTTGCACATAACCCCCTTGTCACTGTGCCCTCATAGGCCCTTCCCTCTGTGCACTTACCCTGGGGTCTCTCTCTCTCTCCTAACCTCTTACAAGAACACCAGTCATATTGGATTAACACCCAGTTACCTCCTTAAAGGCCCCATCGCCAAATACAGTAGTGGTCTGAGCCCCAGGGGGTGAGAACTTTGACATATACCTTTTGGGGCCAAAATTTAGTTCATAACATTTGTCAATTTGGACTTCTGAGTTTGAATCCTGATTCTACCTCTGGGTATCTGTGTTGCCTGGGATAATTAACTTAGTTTCATAGTATCTTATTTCATTAGTATAATAGGGAAGAAGATAATAAAAATAATGATGATGATAAATAATAGTACTTACCTCATAGAGTGGTTCTGAAAATTGAGTTGTTACATATAAAATATTTGAAACAGTGCCTAACACGTGGGAACACTCAGTAAATGTCACCTTACATTTTTAATTCAGTTTTTAAGTCAATTCAGCAATTTGCAATGTCTCCTTACATTTTCTTAGTTTGTTTACTTAGACTGATGTTTACTTGAACAAAGTAAATAAGTACCTAAAACTGGCATTTAAGGAAAGGAATTCTGTATGTCAGGGCTGCTTAGATGACGAACTGCAGGCACCCGACCAACTTCCAT